AAAAAAATCAACTCACAAGGACTTTTCCGTCGAGTGAAACGAAGAGAATCGCATCGGATCTGTTCACTTCGTCCACCAATTGGAGAGACGCCGTCGAACAAGACGTCGATAACCATGTCCCGTGAGGCGGCGAATTCAGCTCTCTCTTTCCGAGAGGAAATAGTCCTGGATGATGATGACGCGTAGAGGGAGAAGATGGATACGGAATAAACCTAGCGAAATCGATCAACCATCGGGAATATTCTGAAGCCGCCGCGTTTCCACGGTGGTGGTGCTCGTGGATTGGTGTTGTTAGAGATCCCGCCATCTTCCTTCAGATATTTTCCTCCGTTTTTTGAAAAAAATTTTGGTTCAATTTTTTTTGTTACGAAATTTTTTTGTTACGAATAAAATTTGAAAACCAAACTGTACGGAATTATATATTTCCACAGTCACTATGCTCAGATAAAAATAGTATTACATTTGGGCCCAAAGGCCCAAGTCCAATATATTTGGCTTTAGTTTCAAGGTGTTAAATTCCGGTTCAAGTTTCGTTTGGTATGGTTTCCACAATGTGGTTCTAAAATATAAAAAGTGTTGTTGGTTCGGAATCGAATTATGTATCTTGGCTATAAAAAGTGTGTATGTCTTTTATTAATTAAATACTTGGTTAAATACTTTCATTTTGGATTAGATTAGTGTGTATGTCTTTGATTAAAAATACTTGGTGATGCCAATACGAGCAAACAAAACCATACCAAACTAATTGGAGTTGGTTTCTGATTTTTCTCTCAATTGATTAATAATTTAATAGGAAAATAAGAAGATTGTGATTCTAATCTAAAGTTTGCCGCTTATAAGAACTTTATTTCCAATGGAATTATCTGTCTTATCAAGTTCATGAAAATGAAACATTATTACATTATTGGATTTTCCTAAATAACAAACAACCTCTCAAATCGCAAATGCTTCGATCGAGACTATACACCAGAAGTTCATAAATCAGAATGTCACAAACCCCAAAAATTACTTGCGGCTGGTTTTGTAATCGAATCACGGAAGCTTAAACCTGAAGAGCAGAAGCTATGGAACCAGCAAGGCTCAGAACTTCAAAAGGTGGTTTATTCATCACCTCTTTCACAGTCAATCCACACGAGTCTGTAATCCAGAAATAGCTCAGACCTTCCGCGGGATCACCTGCATCACACGGAAATAGACAGATACCAAGATTATAACTATGCTACAAAGAAACAGAAATGGCTCTTTCATTTTGGACCGAGTCATAACATTTGTATAATAGTTGTAACCTTTGGTGTCAAGCTTGAAACGTTTCCATGAACTCTTGGGGAATATGCCGTGTGTCACATATGCGCTTATTTTCGCTGCCCCGTGTGCAGCTAAGACTTTCTGAAGAGAACAAGAATTGGTGGTGAGTTATAAAGAAGTAAGAATAGAGTTATACGTCTTGAGAGTTGAATCTAAGTACAGAACCTGGCATTCGATTAGTGTGCCACCCGACTGAACCAAATCATCGACAATCACAACGTGCCTTCCTTCAGCGTCACCCTCTTTGATACGCACAATTCGTTTGTCTCCCATTCTAACTTTGTTGCAAACAATCTGAATCACAAACGGAATTACTGGGTAAGTCGGACGGATTAATGTGCAGATTTTCTGCTCATGCTAGTACGATGCAATGCTTGTTTGGAGTTAAATCTAATGTGGGCTTGAAGAACATCCAGTAAGATGCTAATGAGATACGCCATTAGAAAGTATAATACCGTTGGATAATGTTGGAGTTGTTTGTGGAAACGTTTCCATGCCCCATCATCAGGGAATGCAATAGATATCTGAAACAAGCGAAGAAGAGTAACCAAATTAAATTAGATCTTGTTGACCTCTACATGATGAAACTGATAGAAATGTGACAACCAGAGGACAAGAGACTCACGTTATCGGAATCAGGTAGACTCTGGAGTCTGTTCTTGAGCAATGGTATACCACTTTCAAAGCATGGAAGTATAGTATCACCAAAGTAGAATCTTTCCTACAATCCAAACGAAAGACATGTAAAATCTAGATAAAACCATTGACTCAGAGAACCAAAAGAACAGAGTCATCAGCATTTGAGGTTGTAATGAAGACCTGCAAGGCATGTATATCAAAGGTCACTAAGCTAGTCGGTCCTCCTCTCGAAGTCGGTATGTTTGAAAGTATCCTAGCGAGGGTGAAAGCAGTCGCCACGTCTCCTTCGTCTTCCATTCTCTCAGAAGTTCCAGTGGGGAAGAATGGAAGAACAAGCGTAAATGACGAAACGAAAAGCTTAGGCAGAGCATAAATAACTGAGAGCTGCTCGAAGATCACAGCGGGCGAACTGAATGAAGCCAAGAAGGCGACGTGTTGCCCGCGAATGCCTTGAGCATTTTGTATGAACAAGTTAGGGAATCCATCATCAAATTTCCTAAAACAACAACATTGATTCTCATTATTACATTGCAAACAAGAACCAAAACTCAATTTTCTTCAGCTTAAAGGCCTAAATGCAAAATTTCTTAATCTCAAGGTCTTGACTTTAAAACTCTGGAGCAAGACCATTGACCAAAAAAACACAAAGAAACTCACATTTGAAAGTTTCAAATTACCAAAATCAAACCCACGAATATGATGAAATCAATCGATTCAATTTCACTTAAGATTGAGAAATGTTCTTAAGTCATGAATTAGATAGAGAGAGTCACTAGGGATTTTTTACTTCCAATTGATGCTTCGTAGCTCGATGCAATCAGATTTCGCGACGATTCTCTCAGCGAGATCTCTAGTCTCGTCGCTGTGGAATAAACAGACGCGCTTCGAGCACTTCGCACCGGATTCCGACGCCGCCGCAGCCATTGATATCGGAGAAGACGAAGAATTGGGATTGATTAGGCTGATCGGATCTCCAGTGGATAAGAAATCAAGGCTCCGATGACCCGACTGGTTCTCTAAGCTTCGAACTCCACACCTCACGCAGCGATTACCGACTGTAGTAGCAGTTTTGAGATTAAGAATAAACGG